CAAACAGAAGCTAATCAAGTACCTACTAATTCCCAGATTTGCGAGGAGGCGGCGGGATCCCTTAGTCCCCTAAAAATAAGAGATCAAGGTAGATCAGTACAGGATTATATAGAAAGTAGACTAATCAGCACAATATCTTACTAATAAAAGTACTCCACATTTATTGAAATTAATTATAAAACCAACGTTCAAGACCCAGTGGAAAAAGTCTAAAAATAAGCAAAAATGTAAAAAATATAATGTATTATAAAAATATTAGAACATAAACCCCCAAAAAGTATACAAGGAAATAGTAAATCAGAGTATAAATCAATGAGATAAAAAACAGACTAGCAAAAAGCCAAAGCCAAATAAAGCAAGAATTAATTCTTTAAAAATACAAACATAATGGAGACACATTTGGCAAAAATGACTAAAAACATCTATACAGAGAGACAACACAAATATATACTATGAATACATATAGAGCCAGCATATAAATATAACATAATATTAACAACACTGTATCAAAAAAAATTGAAAATGAAGACAAAATGGATTAATCCTGTGAAAAATGTAATTTATCAAAACTTGCCATTAAGAAATGATGAAAAACTTATATAGCCCTATACAATTAAAGAAACTGAATAATTAAAAAAGAAGTCTTCCCGTAAGCAAAATACCAGGCAATTTCAAGCAAATTTTCAAGGAAACAATAAATCCACTTTTTAGAAAACATTAAAATACTATTATAGAGATACAATTCACATAACATGAAGTTCACCATCTTAAAGTGCACAATTCAGTGGGTTTTAATGTATTCACAAGGTTGCACAGTCCCACTAATTCCAGAACATTTCCATCACCTCATCAAAAACCCCACATTGTTAGTCACTCCAAACCCCTCAAGCACCCCAGTGCCACCAATATTTCATATCAATACATAATACAATATGCGGCCTTCTGTATCTAGTTTCTTTCACTTAGCATAGTTTTCTAGGCTCATCCATGAGGCAAGTAACAGCACTTAATTTTTTATGGCCGAGTAATATTTCATTGCAGGGTATAACACACCTTGTTTATCCATTCATCAGCTGATGGACATTTGCGTTGTTTCCACTTTTTGGCTACCATAAATAATGCTGTTGGAAACATTCATGCACAAGTCTCCCTCTCCTTCTGTTTTTCTTTTTCTCTCCCTTCTTCCCTCTTCTTCCTTCCTTTCTTTCCTTCTTTCTCTTTTATTATATAAAAGATACAGATAGAAAATTTATATATATAGTGGGTGTAGAGTGGTACTTCGTGATTTTGATTTGCATTTCCCTAATGGCTAATGAAGTTTAACATCTTTTCGTGTGCTTATTGGTCATTTGTGTGTCATTTTTACAAAACTATCTACTCAAATCCTTTGCCTACTGTTAAACTGGGTTGTCTCTTTACTGTTAAGAAGAGTTCCTTTCATATTTTAGATACATATATCTATTATCATTGTATCACTATATTATCAGATTATGATCTGCAAATATTTTCTCCCATTCAGTGGGTTGCCTTTTCACTTTCTTGATAGTGTCCTTTGATGCACAAAAGCTTTTCATTTTGATGGAAGTTTCAATTTATTTTTTTCTTTGGATGCTTGTGCTTTTGATGTTATACCTAAGAAACCACTGCCTAATCTATGGTCAAGAAAATGTACACCTGTTTCTAAGGATTTTATAGTTTTAGGTCATATTTGTATACGCTCCATTTTAAATTAATTTTTGTATATGATTTGAAGGATCTAACTTCATTCTTTTCATGTGGACACTCAGCTGTCCCAGCACCATTTGTTCAAGACTATTCTTTCCCCATTGAATGGTCTTGGCACCTTTGTCAAAAATCAATTGACCTGTCCAAACCCATAGAATGTCCAAACCCACAGAATGTCCAAACCCACAGATTCCACGAACACAGGATGCCTTTTTCTTCTGCAACATTTTATAGCTTTCAGTGTACAATTTGCACTTCTTAGGGTAAGTTTATTTCTGCATATTTCACTCTTTGTAATGCTATTGTAAATGTAATTATTGCCTTGATTTTGATTTTTAATTGCTAGTGTAGAGAAACAGAACTGATTTTTATGTATTGATCTTGTATCCTGTGACCTTGCTTAATTCATTAATTATTACTAATAGTTTGGGGGGTTTTGAGGGTTCTTTATAGAGGTTTTCTATATATAAGATCATGTTATCTCCACATAAAGACAGTTTTACGTCTTTCTTTCCAATCTGGAGGCCCTCTGTTTCTTTTTCTTGTTTAACTGCCTTAGCTAGAACCTCCAGTACAATGTTGGACATCCTCGTCTTGTTCCTGATCTTAGAGGGAAAGCTTTCCGTTCTTTCACCATTAAGTACAATGTTGTGTGCTTTTCGAATACCCTTTACCAGGATGAGAAATATCGCTTCTACTCTAAGTTTGAGTGTTTATGTCATGAAAGGGTGTTGGATTTTGTCAAGTGACTTTTCTGTTTCTACTGAGATAAACCATGGTTTTTTCCTCTTCGTGCTATTAATATGGCGTATTACATTTGATTTTCACGTTGAACCAACCTTGCATTCCTGAGATGCAATTCCATGGTGTTGGTCATGGTGTACAATCATTTTTTACTTGTGACTGAATTTGGTTTCCTAGTATATTGTTGAGGATTTTTGCATCTATATTCATGAAGGACACTGGTCTATAGTTCTGTCTGGCTTTGGTATGACAATGATACTGGCCTCATAAAACTGTTCCCTACTTTTTTTGGAAAGAACTTGAGGACTGGTGTTAATCTTTATATGTTTGGTAGAACTTAACAGTGAAGTCATTTGGTCCTGGGCTTTTCTTCACTGGGAGTTTTATTAGTAACCTTACCTCTTTGCTATAGTTCTATTTAGATTTTCCGTGTCCTCCTGAGTCAGTTTTGTGAGTTCCTAGGAATCTGTCCATTTTTCTAGGTTATGTAACTTTAGAATTGTTCATTGTGTTCCCTTATAAACTTTCTGCTTCTGTAAGGTCAGTGGTAATGTCTCCTCTTTAACTCCTGATCTCAGTAATTTGAGTCATCTTTTCCTTGGTCAGTCTAGCCAAAGGTTTCTTTAATCTTGTTCATCTTTTCAAAGAACCAACTGATATTCTCCACTGTCTGATATTCTCTATTGTTTTCCTATTCTCTGTTTCATTTATATCTGCTCTAATCTTTATTTCCTTTCTTCTGCTTGCTTTGTGGTTTGCTTTGCTATTCTTTTTCTAGTTTCTTAAGACAGAAGTTTAGGTTATTGATTTGATATCATTCTTTTTAAATGCAGGGACTTAAAGCTATAAAGTTCCCTCTGAGCACTGCTTTTGCTGAACACCGTAAGTTGTATACTGTGTTTTTTTCATTCTTCTCAAAATATTTTCTAATTTCCCTGTGATTTCATCTTTGACCCACTATTTAGGGGTATGTTGCTTCATTTATCTTCCCAATTTACTTCTAGTATTAATCTCTAACTTCATTCCATTGTGGTCAGAGAACATACTTTGTATAATTTCAATCTTTTTAATTGCATTGAGACTTGTTCTGTGGCCTGACATTTTGCGGATAATGTTCCACACACACTTGAGAAAAATATATCTTCTCTTGTTGGGATGAGTGTTCTATATACGGGTGTCAGGTCTAATTGGTTGACAGTGTTGTTCAAGTCCTCTATTTCCTTACTGATCTGTCTTGTTCTTCCATCCATTATAGGAAGTCGGGTATTAAATTATCCAACTATTACTACTGAATTGTCCATTTCTCCCTTCAGTTATCTCAGATCTTGCTTCATGTATTTTGGGGCTCCGCTGTTTTATATATCAATATACATATGTTTGTAATTGCTATGCATTCTCAATGGATTGAGCCTTTTACCGTTACATGTTGTTCTTTGTCTCTAGCCAAAAGAAAAAGAAGGTCTTGATGTCTATTTGTTTAGCTCTCTTGGTTACTGTTTGCATGGAATGCCTTTTCTCATTCTTTTAATCCATTTGTGTCTCTGAATCTAAAGTGAGTCTTTTGCAGACAGCAAAGAGTCTGTATTAAGTTTTTAAATCCATTCCACCAATCCCTCATTTAAATAACACCTTTCTTTGATCACCTTCAAAAAAAGCCCTAGGGCTCTGCAATGTGTATGGTGGAAAAAACACTGATTTCATAAATGCAGCAATTACTTATGAAGGAAATAACCCAATTTCATTTTAGAATTTCTCAGGAACTTACCATGTTACTTAGAACCAATTTCTTTTTATACTAAAGATGAAAAACATCACCACAGGTGATGATATGAGAGCAACCACTTTGAAACATTCAGGATACATTTAGAGACCCTCTACCATCCTGGTCTAACACGCACTGTATTAGTATAACATGCAATGTAGAAATGTTATCAGTAGGCCCGGCACCAATCCACCTGTAGCAGACACTGCTGACTGCGGACCTAAAGGCCATTTCCCCTTCCCCTAAGACGGCAACACCTTAACTCGGTTTCTTGTGTTTGCTCTTCTCTCAGATAAAGGGCACCTTGATCTATCAAGGTGATCTCATCCTCCTTTCCACTAGCTGGTTTTGAGGGACTGGGAAGTTACCCAGTCTAGGTCAATGAGATGTGAAAAGATGTCTTTTCTGAACTCTCCCTACTTCTGGACCCATTTTAAGAAATCATAAATCTCCACATTAAGCGAGTCTATATCAAGTTTCCTGTTTAGGCTAAAAAGTCTATAACAGTTTGATTAAGTATTTCTCAACTGACCAAAAAATAAGCTTAACTTTTTGTATTTTAATATTTTATTCAAAGAGTTCAGTTTTAAACATCTGTAAGACATTCATCAATCCATTATTACTTTACTTTTAACATTATAAATTTAACTTCAAGTGGCAGAGGAAAGAAAAATATGTAATAAAACTATATTTCAGCTGTATATCTTCGAGTAGGGAAACGGAAAAAACTTACTACCACCAAAACAAACAAACAAACAAACAAACCTAATCTATTAGGCATGTATATATTTTATTTTCCTTTAGGTGATCATTTGTGGAAAATTACCCTTTCCAAGAATAAGCCCTTGCAAACAGAGCTGCTAATCTTTCCAAAAATAAAATCCAGTATCCAGATTCTCAAAACTCACAAAACCAAATGGAAGTGTCTAGTTGTCAGCCAACAGTGCCACGCTCAAGTCAGTTTCACACCACAGTGAATGGTATAACTATTTTCAGTAGGCAAATTCCTCATATAACTAATTCCTAATATTCCTAAAATAACTAATTTCAGTAGGCAAATTCCAATTCTAAATATTAATAGTGAGACTACTTCTACTACTAGTGATACTACTTGCTATTCCCAACTGTGTTGACAACTGTCTTATTGCTGAATTGTACGTGATAAATCTTCTTTGGCAACTTTTCATACTATGCATTAACACAACTGGACAACTATAAAGATTTGGATTAACTTAGTATTTCAGAATTTTCAAAACTTCATTATAATTATTTAGATGTAATTTCTGATAGATGTTAGAATAGGAAAGCCTCCAAACATGCCTAATTAAATATAATAACAACAACAAAAACTGGTAAATAATCACTACCTTTTCAGTTGTATGTGCAAGTATATAATTCAACTCAAACATCAGTGAAAATATTACAATGTTAGTGCCAATTCTCTATCAGACTTTCTGTGATAAAGGACAAAAATTAAATGTAGAAACTAACATCTGGGTACCTGTCAATTTTTCTGGAAGGCTGTTTCATATGGATTCAAAATGACCTAAAATTAGCCAGAATATAACATGAATTCTCACCACAATACCTCATGAAGTATACTGGTAATGTGATTTTAAACTCTTGGTCTATGAATTAATAAGCCTATTTTGGAGGCTTGGCACAATATTATCAAGAAATTTAAACAGGAAGCTCAAGTCCAGATGTATAACTAAATATATATTTTTTAAAAATCATCAACTTAAACTATAACTGTCTTCCACTAAATATTACCGCTCCAAAATTCACACACGCTAAATTAAAACAGGTACGGCAGAAAGTGCACTCTGAAGCATGTTCACATTTACAAAGATAAATGATGAGGTTTAGCCAGCAAAAAGTCAAACAGGCATGTAAGCAAACATCTGTATGCAAATTTTCACGAGTAAGATATAAGAAATGATTTGTTTCGGTAATTTTATGTACAGCCTGTATACAATTTAAAACAAGTACAACTGAAAACATTTCTAAAGCCACAATAAAGTCAAAATGATATACTAAATAACAGTCTTACAAATTGGTCTCTCTCAGGAGTTCTTAAGAGAAAGAAAACTGAGTAATGTTACTCTAAGAAATGCCCTCTTCTTGATCAATCATTTCTGTTTTAACTGAAAAGACATCTGCCAGCATGTGTTTTGGAATTTCTGAACCTCTGACTTTCAAGGCGTAACAAGCATTCTCCACTTTGGCCAGACTTTGTTTCAAGGTATACAGCTTCTTAGAAACCTCATAAGGTCCAGTATTGCCAATGAATGAAAACCCATCATAAACCTGACGTAAAAACTGGCTCACTTCAAAGGGGGTGTCAATGTCCCCATTCCCGACACTGTTAATACACATTCGCATCAACTCTCCAGTTAAATCAGCCACTCCCAGAAGGTAATCAACAGGCGTGATTTTCAGTCTCCAGGTACCGCACTGCTTATCCTGTGCATCAGAAGAGGGCTGGTAAAAAAACAAAAACAAAAAACAAAAACACAAAAAAAAAAGAACACACACACACAAAGAAAATACACTGTGTAAAAGAGTGACTATGCATGTATCTCATATAAGGAACAAAATCAACAGCAGGTCAATCATACTAATCTTCTCTAAATAAAACGATCCGTTTTGTTAAATGACCATTCGAGACGTTACAAGACAAATTCATGCCCTCAGTAGGGAGTTGAACTTATGACTTCAAGATAATTTTGACATCTAATATTGTATCATTATAAATCAACCATTTCCAATTTCACTTGACATACAAGATAAAATCAAAACATTCTTAAACAAGGCCTACTGACTTTACTGCAACACAATGACTGACTTACTTAAACGACAAATCATAAAGCCCTCCAGGTTCAGGATCCGGTCATGTTTTCCTCAATCACTTAGTCCCTTTCTGGCCTCTCTCCTGTCCCCCTCGGCACTAGCCATCAGGATTTATTACTCTCTCGCTACACCCGCCTCAGTTCCTTTAGGCTCCTATTTTTCTACTGCACCTGCCCAGCAAAAACACAACCCTAAATCAGTAATAAAAATCTACTCTTGATAGTGCTTTATTCAAGTGGCTGAGTACCGCTGGGCTAAAAAATGATAACACTCACAACTGTATAGCGTTTGTACCACTACAAATTACTCACCAGTCCTTTTGCTTATTTCTTAGATGGTTGTCTCCAGTCCCTTCAAACACTACTCCAAACCTTCACCTCTCTCCTCCTCAGCCCTTACTCAATCCCAAAGCTCTTCACTCTCAGTAAACAATCTTGCCTACTTTCACTGGCCTGGTTATCTGCCAGACCGCCTGGCACAAGCTCTCTCAATTACCTTATCCCTAAAAAAAAACAAGAAAACTTATTTATGTCCACATCCATCTTTACCTTCTATCCTCCAGTCTCAGATGATGAGTTGTCCCTCCTCTTGTTTGAGGTTAACTCTTCCAAATGACCTTGACCCATCTCCTCCCACCTCTTCCAGGACCTTGCTTCATAAGGTGTATGCCCTTGGGCAAGTTATTTCATCTCTCTAAACCTCAGTTTCCTCATCTGTAAAATGGGATAACAGTACCTACCTCAGAGATTTATTTTAAGGATGAGATAACATTTACCAAGTTCTTGGCATAATGCCCAACACAAAGTATATACTCAATAAATGTTAGCTGGTATCACCATTACCATCACTATGTCAGTCTCCTCTCTCCACATCAATTTCTCTATTGGAGTCTGTCTAAAAGAGGCAATGTCTAAATTGTTATTAAAAGTCTGTATGAGACTTAGCTAGGTGGGGTGCAATTGTATTGGAGGACATTTTAGGCAGAGGGAACACGCAAAGGCGTGCAGGTGAGAATCGAGCTGTGTATTTGAGGAACTAGTGAGGTATTTCTTTGGAGTAAAATTTAAAGTAAGAAGTGGTACAGGATGAGTCTAGAAAGATAGAGCGAGGGGACAAAGTCACATTAAGTCGTTGAGAATTAAGCAAGGAAATGACAGAGTCAAATTTAGGTTTTATTAAGATGACTCTGGTTGCTCTGTATCCAATACATAAATCCTAGCACTGCTGGACTCTTCAGAGACCATCTGTTCCAACCTTCTCAATGTAGAGTATAAGAATGAGGTCCAAGAAACACTGTAGGTAATATAACTAGTTAATGGTAGAACTGGGTAAGCATACAAAGTCAGCTTCCCAATTATCCTGACATAATTCCCAATTATCCTGACCTGCTATGTGTTGTTTCTATTTACTGTTAAGAGAACTGGCATCTTTTTGGAAAGGACAGACTGTGGGTGGTGAGGGTAGAGGAGGTGGGGAGGTGGCGGGCATTTTCATAAAGTCATTTATAAAAGTAACTTTTGCTTAAGAAAACATTAATGTTCTTTGTTTCTCTCATTGGACAGAAGGAGTTCCCTGATTATAAACTAAGAAGTGGATTTTGAAGAAAGAAGTGTGTTAAAAAACGAACAAATTTCAAATAATTGTCAGGGAAATAAATTCTGCTTTACCGATAATACATATTAGAAACTAGGGAAAAGAAAATTACTTAAAAAGCAGTTTTTCAAGATGGACCTGAAGTATTTAGGGGTAAAACATCGTGACATCCATAACTTACAGTAGTTTAGCAAAAAACATTTAGATGAAGCAAATATGGCAAAATGTTCATTACTGAATCCAGGTAGTGGGTATATGGATGTTCATGTACTACTATTCTCTCCACTTTTTTGTGTATTTGAAATTTTTCGTAATAAAAAATTTAAAAAAATTAAATGGTTTCGACACTACTCTCAATAGGCATGTCAGAGCAAAATACCTTCCGCTACTGAATTCCCAGAATTTTCAGCACCAAGAACCATCTTTAGCACTAAAGGGAAAAATTATTTATGAATGTGGTCTTCACATTTTGAGAACTATATGTATATGAATATTATGACACCTTAATCTTACAATAATTTACTACCTAAATCCTCAGAGCAGTGTTTTAACCCTCAGCTTCTCTTTACCTTTTGCCTTTATATTTCCATTCTGAACTAGAGAGGACTCTGAAAGGGAGGCATGGTAATTATATTTAAGAAGCAGGGTCGAGATTCCCTGGTGGAGCAGAGGTTGAGGGTCCGCCTGCCGATGCAGGGGACACGGGTTCGTGCCCCGGTCCGGGAAGATCCCACATGCCGTGGAGCGGCTGGGCCCGTGAGCCATGGCCGCTGGGCCTGCGCATCCGGAGCCTGTGCTCCGCAACGGGAGAGGCCACGACAGTGAGAGGCCCGCGTACCGCAGAAAAAAAAGAAGCAGGGTCAAACAGGCTTACCTTACTTCTTTCCGTAATTCAATCTTTACTAAATAAATAAAAGGTATGAAGGAATTTTACTTCTCAAGATGAATTTCCTCCTTAATAAACTTCACATGATTTTTAAAATTGAGACAATACATGGTTTCCTTGAAGTAAGTTATATCTGTCATGCCAAATTAAATCTCACTTTTCAAAATTAACATTTTATTAACATTCAAGAAAAGATGATTTCCATAGCTTCTTCCACTTTCTGCCTGCCTATCCTAACTCTTTGAGTGATTTTTTAAAAAATAATAATGAAAGAAAAACTGATGAAAAATAAAGGAAGGAAAAAAACTGTTTAATTGTATCTTTATGTTTACTGGTATCCCAGGAGGTTAACAAATATTCAAAATTTTACCTCATGGCCTGAATACTGTATCTTGAAACCCAGGGGAAAAAAACAGTATTTATTTAAAAGCTGAACTGCCAAAGTTTCTCTTTTCTTAATTTAGAGACGCTATGTAATATTTCAGATAAAAGCATTATGAACTCAGTAATTAACATCTCTCACTATGTAATAACAACTTGATATTGACACTGATAATGACAACTAACTACTGAGCACTCATGTGGCATGTGCTGTATGCTACCTAATTTAAAACCTTTAAATCAAATCCTTTAAAACACTCCTTTGAGGTAGACACCTGGCACAGGGGTCCCTGGGGCACATGGTGAGAAACACCGGCAGCGTGGACAAGGACACTCATGACTCTGGATGCGAGACACCTGGTTTCAAAGTTACCTGTCATGCTTACTAGCTAACTAGGCTTGGTAAGTTACTTAAACTCCCTAAAGGCCTTTTTTGAAAAATGAGGGTAATAATTCTTACCGCATAAGGTTAAAAAAAGGATTAAATGAGACAGTGCTTATAAAGGGCACATAGTAAAATACACAGTAAAACCAAAAGTGGACTTATGTAATTACTCAATAATGCTTTATGTAAAGAGTAATGTTTTCCCCCAACATACCCACGGTTGTTTGAGCCACTAACTAAAATATTTAAAAAGACCATTTCCCTAGTTGGGAATCTATGAAATCGCACTGTAGAAAGAACCTTCCCATCTCAGTATTCTTAGCATCATAAGCCAATAAACCGCCTACAATCATTATACTGTTACATAAATTATGTAACAAATGTGAAATATGATTTTAAATTCTTACAGTCTTATTTTCTTTCCCATTGTCTTCTGTTGAAAAAATCAATTGTTTATTAATTTCATCCATACTGATAAGTGATCGTGTTTTGATGAAGTGTTGAAAAGAGACAGCCTCCACATATTCCTGCAGTCCTGAAAAACCAACCAAAAAATTACTAAGGAACAACCACTGAATTAATAATAAGAAAGTCATAATAAAGAACTTCAAACTAATCATCACCTAGCTCAACAAAAGCTTAATGGGTGCCTCCTATGAATATGAGCCCTAGATTCAGGTCTTAGAAAGAACACAAGGGACCACCTGGGAATAAATGGTGGGGACTACACTGAACACACAAACATTTCTGTGGCTGAACTTTAGACAGCTCAAGTACAAAGGTGTTCAATTTCTTCTTCCTGCTTCATGAGCCCATTTGTCTTAAAAATCTACTCTTTCCGACAGAGAAATGGCAAAGATTTTCAGAGAAATATTTTTTGAAGAATTTAAGAAAGGGCTATTAAAAAATTCTGAAAGGCTTTAACAGAAGCTATACAGATTATTTTTTGCTCCCTTCAGCAGCAAAATAGACAATGATTCAATCAAATGAGACATAAAATTAAAGATCATTTGGCTCTTTCCTAAAATTTTAATAGGTAAAAAAACACAGTAAATAATGCAGACTAAAGTGTCAAAATTCAGAATACTGTTTTCCTCATACTTCAAAATCAATCCTTTCTGCTTCAGCAGTTTATGTTTAAAAAAAAAAAAAAAAAAGCTAATGAGTAATACCAGATGTACCAGATGTAAATTCTACAGAGTCCTCACTGAATTAAAAATACATCTCGGTGGGCTTCCCTGGTGGCGCAGTGGTTGAGAGTCCGCCTGCTGATGCAGGGGACACGGGTTCGTGCCCCGGTCCAGGAGGATCCCGCATACCGCGGAGCGGCTGGGCCCATGAGCCACGGCCGCTGAGCCCGCGCATCTGGAGCCTGTGCCCCGCAACGGGAGAGGCCACAACAGTGAGAGGCCCGCATACGGGGGAAAAAAAAAAAAAAAAAGCTCGGTAAAGGTTGAAAATAGTACTATAAATACTTTCTCAAGTGTTCTAAAACAACCAAATTTTATCGTCACAATTTTCAGCATTACTTTATTATGTCTTAATCTATAAGGTAATACTTAAAGGGGAAAAGTATTTCTTAAAATGATTATCATTACTGTCAGGTTAAGAAACTCAGTCTTCTTTTTAAAGGCGTTATTGTAAAAACAGGAAGAGGGGAACAAATTCAGAAAGAAAACTCAGAACTCGGTAGGGTCATCGGTATTCAAGTTCTCTCTCTAACACTTCTCCTGACAGAGTCCTGCACTCACAGAGCCTCCCAAAACCTGACACTAAAAGTCAGGCCTGGCAGCAACAGTGTTGAGAAGGCTGGCCACTGTGGTATTGTCACAAATGCCACACTAGGGTCAAAGACACAAAAGGAAATGCATGACCTGGTTTTTATAGCAATAAGAGGAAACAACTAAATGAAAATACCCTGACTCATTCTGAGCAGCAAATGATGCTAAAGTAAGGTTAGAAAATAAGTGTCTCCTGCTGACAGAGTAAGACATGATAGGACACTTTGCTTAATAAACCTAACATGCTGAGAAATGAAACAATAAAGTTGAGTTTAACAAAACAGATAGCATCCCTTAACATTTACAATGAAATTTCTGTAACATTTTAGTTTTATGAATAGGTTCATAAAACCCAGTTCCCTTCCCTAACGACAATCTGTATTTCTCATTTCCTTCCAGAAATACTTCAGGCATACAAAAGCAAAGAGCAACACTTAAGAACCACTCATCACATCTCTAAATATGCTCTAACGTGACTGGCTCTTTCGAATGAGAGCTAAAGACGAAGATATGCAGAAAGATTTATGGACAAGGATATTCATCATCACAATCACTACAACAACAAAAACTGAAAAAACTTGAAAGGTCAATAACAGAAGTGCCACTCGTCAACTTACTGTCCCTCAGCTCCATCAGTGCAGATAATGGAGGTGGACCCTAACACGCTTCTCTTTTGCCAGCTGGCACATTAGTGAGCTTTGCTGGTAGAGGGCCCTGGAAGGACAGCAAAGGAGGGAAAGCTCTCTTCCGGGTTCTGGTGTGCCCGTCTTCGGCAGCCTTCTAAGCGTGGGGAACCTACAGCTCCAGGTGGGCAGCAGCCCGAGGCCCCTCTTTGGGGGCAGATTCCCTTTGTGACCCAGAGAGCATCTCCCAGGGAGCCACCTCCCTGGGCAAGGAGTCTCCCGGCCCAGCACCTCCCCACGGACAGCTTCCCAGTGATGTCATCAGCGCGACATCTCAGCCATCCAATGGCCCACGACTTCAGGGGGGGAGGGAGGGGGAACTCCTCGAGATGTGTTTCTGCCTCTGCCCTGGGGTAGTGGATGCCTCCTGTCTGATACTCCTGTACTCTTCAGAGTTCATGTTTCCTCTTATAAGGCAGTCCCCTACACAGTTAATCCGTTATATTAAACTTTCCCTGTTCAAATTACTATGCAGGACACTGATGAATACAACAGGGACTTAGGAAGATACATAATGATACCGTATCCCCTTCACCCCTATTACCATGGACGAGGTGTTCCATCCTTTGAGGCCAGCCCGCAAGCCTAGCCTCAGAATCAAGATACAATCCCAGCAGGAACCTTAACGTGGATTCTCCCTTCCACATACGAGGTTTTCCACCTGATGTCCCCTACTGGACGCTATCAGCATCGACACTCTCAGATCTCTTCCATCCACTGGCCCCTACCTTCCTCACAACTACTGCCCCAACTCTCTCCTCGCCTTCAGTTAAATTTCAGTAAGCTCACCTCACACTTCTCAGCCTACTTCCTTCTAGCTTGAGTGCATCTCTACACCAAAACAGCTTTCACTTCAAGTTATCATAGTTGATGAGTCTAATGGACATTTTTTCAGTCTTAACTGTAGCAGCGTTCAGCATTTTGACCCCTTTTTCCCTTCTTTAAACAAGCTCCCCTTTGGTTCCTTTGAATGGCATCATCTCCTAGTTCCCTTTTTTCTAACTCTCTGGCCATGTCTTCTTAGTCTCTGCCTCAATTAATCCCAGGCTCTCAAATTTACCTATACTTGGCTTCAATCCCTCAACTTTACATCTCTGGCTTCGAGTCACACGTATCCAAATGCGTATTTGACAATCCCATCAGAGGGACCTCAAGACCAACATGTCCCACAAGGCGTTCACAATCTTCCTTCCCAGCCTAGCCCTCTTCGTTTTGCCAGTTCTAAGAGCCTCCTGCCCGCCCTTCCTTCCACCCATTTTTTTCCCTCTTCTTATCCACTCTCACACCACAGACTGTTTGCCTTTTTAGTAACTATGACCACGTCACTCCCCCACTTAAAGCCTCAATAGCTTTCCATGGCTCTCCGAATACGGCGCAAAATCATTAACGTGGTTTATGAACACCTGCTTAATTTCACCCTCCACCAACCATCATCAGCCTCAACTCACGCTATGGTCAAGTTATAACTCATGTAGTTACACATTTCAAAGGTGGGTATGTAAACCCATACAAATACCCTTTAAATTAACAACAGTACAAGGCTTGTATGTACTCTATAATATGAATTTTCCTACAGTTAATATAAAACACTACTTCTTCAATATTTCTAGCCATAATCCTGCCCCCAAGTTCCTACAGTTGGCTTACACTTCATAGCGACGTCGAGCAAAAATAGTAGTGTTTTAAATGCTGGAATCAAATACAAGTATCAAGGTTCTTGTCATACACGTGGTAATTGATGGGGGAGAGAGCATAAAAACTAAGGTTCTATCAGTTGAAGGTGGTGCACACAAGCTTTCCCAAGGGCTTCATGGTGAGGCTCGATGATTTCATCATGTGAACATTAATTATCAAGATTAATGGGTATAAGGCAGTGTGCCCACAGATGGAGGATGGCCGTATCTATACACCTATAATCTCAAGCTGATTTGACAAAGTGCAAATTCCAGTGTGTAGTTCAAGGCAGAAGGAATCAGTCAGAAGTGAGGGTATCACTTAAACTGAACCCGTCTCTCATCTATTCTCTCATGGTAACACTATGTGTGACGGTCCATTTGGCTAGCTATGGTGCCCAGCTGTTCTGTCAAACGCCTGTCTAAATGTGGCTGTGAAAGTATTTTCTAGATGTGATTAACACTTAAATCAACAGACTCAGAGTAAAGCAGATGACCCTCCATAATGGGGTGGGGCAGGCAGAGACACTCATCCCATCAACTGAAGGCCTTAAGAACAAAGAATGAGGCTTCCCAACCAAGCAACCGGTTGGGAAAACTGCCACAAAGACACCCTGCCTGAGCCTCCAGCCTGCAGACTTCAGACTCAAGACTGCAACATCAACTCTTCCATGAAATTCCAGCCTGCTGGCCTGCTCTACACATTTCATACTTCCTAGCCCCCAAATCATGTGAGCCAATTCCTTCAAATAAGTTACTTCCTACCTATCCCACTCCCTCCCCCACCCCCATGACTCCTGTTGGTTCGGTTTCTCTGGAGAACCCTGACGTCAAACAGTGGAACGGCATGTCTGGTGAGGCAGAGTGCTCACATAACCTAAGTGCGCACACAACGCACACACCTGTCTCCTCTCCTTGACTCTCCGTGCTTTCCCTTTTTCATTCCACACGCACACTGTGCCTTCTCTGATTTCAAGGGGTTTCGTTTGCTGGCCCTCAGCCTTCCCTCCATGCCCTCCTCCCTGTTTCACCTGATTAATTACTACTAATCCTTTCACGTTCCATCAAACAGAACCTTTGAAGAAACTGTCTGACACCATCCCATTCTAAGTCAAGCCCTTATTATATGTTTTCCTAGTACCATGTGCCTTTACTTTGAGGCACTAATCAAAGTTGTATTTATTTATTTCAAATACATCTTTATTGGAGTATAATTGCTTCACAGTACTGTGTTAGTTTCTGCTGTACAACAAAGTGAATCAGCCATATGCATACATGTATCCCCATATCCCCTCCCTCTTGCGTCTCCCTCCCACCCTCCTTATCCCACCCCACTAGGTGGTCACAAAGCACTGAGCTGCTCTGCATGTGCTATGCAGCTGCTTCCCACTAGCTATC